CCGACAGTCGGCGCGAGACTGGGGCGGCGCGCGCGCATCTCGCGGTTTTGCTGCGCGCGCGCATCCCGCAAGCACCATGCTCAGCACAAGGGTTCGCTTTCAATTTTATTAATATTCGTAATAACTTAAGAACTGAAATTATATAAATTAAATGCTAAGTAGTAAAAACAAAAAAATAAAGTAATGGATTATCATTACAATTTGACGAAATAACTGGTCACAACATAAAGTAACTATTTTAGGACTCGACCACAACATATTGCTTACTGGTAGCAGTGGCAACGAGTAAGAAGAAGGAGAAATAGATTTTTTGGCCACAAATTGATAACTGTGATTCTAAGTTTTAAGGTAGATGGCGCTTTTAACAATTTTAAACTGTTTTCTTTTATTTCAACCAACTGGAAGAAACTTTTTTTATCGTACTTAATAAATGTCACGTTCAAGTTTTGATTCTCCTCTTATATCACCACCACAATAAATAAATGATGGCCCTAAAAATACAAAAATATTTTTTTTACTGAGAACACATTGAATTGAAAGTTTTACGTTTGTTCTCCATTACACATAAAAAATTAAAAACTTGAAAGTGAAAGTTTCTTCCATGTGATTGGCCAAGTGAACGTTACTATTTCATCCGACCAATGACAAGACCGGCCTTGGCCAAGTTAAGACGTATGAGAACGGTAAGAACGTAGTGACAGGTCAAGTTGTGCAAATTTGGTTTAGACAGGAAGTTAACTGCTGTGCGCCACTCGACTATCAACTTAAAGTAACATGTAGATTTAATTTTTGAATTGAAAGTTATTATGTGAAGGTGAAAATAAAAAGTGATCATTGTAAAATGTTTGTAATATGGTTCACGTTACTCGTATTCATAGCCAAAGGTATTTTTTTTATTACATTTAAAAAATAGTTAGTACAACTTTCTCTACATTTATGTTAGTGTTTCATAAACAATATTTTAAAATGCATTGTTCTAGACTGCGCCTCGCAAGATGATGAAGGTCCCTATCGAGGAAAGTTCATAGGAAAGTTGAATTCCTACCACCATCAGGTAAACAATTAATTTATCTTGTTTTCACTTCAATTTTACACAATAAAAAAAAACATGAATCATAGATGTAACAAACAATTTCTGTTTTTATGCGTCACACTCAGGAAATTGGATAATCTGGTAATTCTCATCTTAATTGTAATTTAAATATATGCTTTAAGGCTTTTATCAAGGCTTGCACACCATGTAGCTTATTACATGCTTTGTACTTAATGAATTATTTGTGTTATAAACTTTTTTAACTGTAGCAAACTCTAACACAAACTAGCAAGTGAAATCATCTCTTAAGTTTTCAAACCATTCAAATATTTTATTTATGTTCAAAAGTTAAGACTGATAGAATTGAGCAATTCTTTAAATAACAAGGTATTTGTAGGAGCTTAAAATTCCTGATTGACAGCATGTTTCTTCAAATTCCTTAGTGGTTAATTACATTTATAATGCTCAATGAAGATTATTCCTTGTGTTCACATTTTCCTTACAGAATACAAATATATCAAAACTTTGATGTTGTTTGATAGTGTTTGAGTGCAAACAAAACATGTTTATAAATAATTGTAGGTATCAGGTGATGTGTATGCAGTGGATGACCTGACAGTGCTGCTGGTGAACTTCAACTATGATGGCACCGGGGAGGACACCTTCTTCTGGGCCGGGGACTCGGGCCGGCCCGGACCACAGGGCTTCATAATACCCGATGAGCATGGCAAGTCAGTGTCACTTTTCTGGATTTATTAATCTATTGGCATTGATGTAATTACAATCAAAATAAGCTTGTGTCATATTTTCTATTTATCATACATATGTCTGCAATGGACCATAAACTTTTTTAAATGATTTCACAAACGGGCCAGTACATGTGACATGTTGTGTGAGACGTGCAAGTGGCGGGGGCGCAGCAGTACTAGCCGCGGCGTGTCGCAG